TTTTCTTAATTAATTTTTTTTTGTGTGAATGCATGATACTGTCAGAGAAAAAAGACATGCAACTAATTCATTACTATCTTAAACAAAAATATACAAACACGCCCAATATGAAAAGCATTATGAAATATTCATCCTTCCACCAATGCTTCACACAAGTTATGAATAAAACCACACAACTAACAGTGCAGTTCATTACATATACCTAGAAAGGTTTCAGTTATAAAGTACAATACTATAACTCTTCAGTATCACCATGGTTAGTTGCGTGATGTGACTATGAAAGTACTGAACTGGCTACATTAAAAAATTTATAAAACATCTAATGAAATTCAAATATTAACGTAAATATTTCATAAAATGCTTTAAAGGTACGACAACAGCAAATACAGTCAATAAGAAGAACCCTCTACCATGGTTTAAAGGTGGATTCCATTCATGACAGTGTGACTATTAGGGTTAAATAGGTGTAGAAATAGAATGTTAAGAAAACGTAAAATTCTAATTGATAACAGATATGTAGCTACAATTAAATACAAGAAAAAACTTGTAACCCTGAGTTCAAATGTATAGTATGTTTTGTAACATATCATTTTGAAGGCAAGTATGAGGGGTCTAGCTAGGCTGATGAACTACACCAGGGCCTCCAACTGTGAGGGTCCATAATAAGGACCCTCACAGTTTGGAAAAGGATAAAACAAATCACATTTCAAACTAATTTTCTCCATTTCACCAGCCACAGTCTTATAACAAGAGAGAAATATGAAAATGGCATCTTGCTGTAGTGTTGAAATCTGCATTAATGTTTCGTTACTGCTATTCTAGTTACTGACTTTACAAAGTCTTCTCTCTCAGTCTCAGCAATCATTTAAACAGAGACTAAGCTATAATGTGTTACAGCACATATCAATATGATCTTCCAAGAAATATGTCACATCAGGTCGATGAAAGGCATTGTTACTTACCCTACCCTTTGCCACCACTCATGATTCTCTGCTCTGTCATTGATAGCCTCTATATAGCATTTCAAACTTCATTTGATCATTGAGGTACTGGGCAAAATTATGCAATATGCTGAACAATTTACTATAAGTGATTTCAAAAATTGTCATAGAATATAATGGAATGATGCTATAGTGGAGTATTAGCACAATAGCTTAGAAGGTTGCATAGTATTCTGAATGGATTTATCACTACCCAAAAATTAATACTTGGGTTACAGACCTGAAAGATGACACCTGATACAATACATTTTAAAAGCAAGAAATTTTATCACATCTTATTTTGGATGGTTTCTTGAAAGGTTAATAATTGATGAGCTGATCAGTTGGAAAGCTATGAATTTTTAACATCTGGCAAAATTTCATATTCATAATGTCTCTTAAATTTGGATGAATGTTTAACTTTATTTCGGATTCACCGACTTTAGCAAAGCAAATATAACTAACTTTTATTTAAGCCACAATACTGACCTTAAAGTCCTTTCACTTGTTTATAAAGTGCATTGAAAAATTGAAATAAACTTATACCAGCATAAAGTGCTTATTGCTAGAAAACATATTTTTTCATACACATATTTTTTCTAAATGCTAGGAAAGAAAGTCGACATTAAATATTGAACTTCTAATCTATTTTTTCCCCCATTTCCTTAAAGTTCTTATGCTCTCATACATACATCTATCAATGGAAATACAATTAAAAAAAAAGCTACAAAACAGAAGAGGGTTGATAGAATGAAAAGTAACAAAACTAGGTAACTGTAAGAGTTATTGATCTATTTTGGACCTAGAAGCAAGAATACATACTACAGAAATGATCCTGTGAAGTATGATTTAAAGATTCTACTGACACTAAAGCTTTTAGGGCTCAATAATCTGTACACAAAAATATGAAAGTAGAAATATGAAATGAAAGGATTTTTAAAAACTTTAAATATCAAGTGACATAAAATACAGAAAAGTTGAAGGATGAACAAAAATGTTCTTTTCTGCATGTTATATTTGATTACTTTTTTAAATGAATCTTTACATGAGAAATAATTTATCACACCTTTCTTAAAATTTACTGAAATAAGTACATAGGCCATTGAATATTTTTTGAGGAAATATTAAATGTTGATGTTAATTGTGGTATATTTAATTGACATGAGATGATTAAAAGTAATGAGCTGAGCATGCCTTTGGAAATTTTAAATTGTTATCCAATGTTATAAAAATACAAAATTGGAATTGTTGTACAAATACAGGATGTGAAAAAGAATCATTATCGAGCAATTTAAGGGAAGAAAAGAGACAAAGCAAAAATCAGTAAAAAAATTACCAACAATGAATGATGTAAGAAAATGGGATGTGTGTTTTAATCAATTCTTTTTTATTAAGTATTAACATTATAATGAAACATTGACATGTACTCTAAATGCTATAATGTCAAACAATGTGAAACTAAATTAAAACATAATTTGTCTCGGACTCAATGAATAAATTAACAGTACTCTTTGTCAACCCTTAACCACTGTCATGAAAAATTAGAATTTTAAAAAGTAAAATTTATATGGTGTCAATAACATGTTCTTCTACATAAAATGGATGAATGAAGACAGACAGTTTGTAAAATTGGTATTTGTGTACTTTTAACTCTTTTGGTTATTGACAGTTTTGGCACCTAACCTAACAAACAGAAATTACTAAAACCAATTTTGAAACACAAAAGAAACAGAACCATTATATAAAGCCTCACTCACACACAAAAGCTGCACAATCAGCCAAGTAGAAGTCTGGCATGTGCTACATTTGCATTTTATTTTCCAGTCTTTGATTCTTGAACATTTCTGACATTTTCTTTCATTGTCGGCAGGATGGGGGGTTTCTTAATGCATTAGAATAGGGTGCCCAGATGTCCCATTTTTAATGGGATTGTCCCGCTACTTAGCTTATGGTTCCATTGTCCTGAAGAAACATTAAAGGCGTGCTAATTGTCCCCATTTTTAACATTATCTCCCATTTAGTCTCTCTTGTTTTGATGGAGACACCTGTTGGCAAAGATGTGCTCTTGACAAAATATCAAAGAAATTGAACATTACATTAACATTTAAGGTCAGTTTAAAATACTGTTGGGCTTGGCATAAAGCAGCTGTGATCAGAAGGGCAGAATTTGTTCTCACAATTTCAGGAACTAATCCATCCATGGAAAGGCTATGTTCCTTAATAAATGCGTTATGCACTGATGAAAAGAACCGTTAGCCCAAATTGTATAGAACAAACTTCTATACTATTTGGTTTGCCTGTTGATATGATCTTAGCTATTGTTAAGACACACTTCATGAAAAATAATTTGTTGAATTTCAAGATTACCTCTTTTACAAAAAGTAATTCCTACAAATAAATAGTTGTAATAAATTTAAAATTATGGACTTACTTTCTTTTTATTCGTTCTATTCATTTCCATTAATGTTAAAAAAGTGTAGTTTTTTACAGAGTGTAATGTTGCTTTTTGTTATGTGCATGTGTCTTGTTTTGTTCTTTTTTTTAAAAATATTTTTTTAATCAAGAAAAAATCACAATGTCCCATTTTTTAGTTACTAAGATCTGATCACCCTACTTTAGGATAACTAATTTTTTCCGCAGGAACTGACCTATTTTTTCCCACATTTCTAAAGGAAGTCAAGGTTTTAAACTCTTTGCTCAAGATCAGTAATGAGTTTAATGGTAAGCAAACTAAGCGGTTCCATGGGACCACAAAATACCATAGGGTCTCAAATTTTGCAACAGTAATTCTTTTTAACAAGAATATTAACCCTGTGTTTGGAACTGATGCTCTCAAGCAACATGTACTTTCCAGGGCTCTAATGGATTTAAAGTATAGATTTCTCATGTGACAGAGGTGTCAATAGATATCACCACATATCAAGCTACAATGAAATGAAGTGCAATTTATAAATATTGAAATATTATTGAAGATTTTTCTAACAGTTCCCTTATCTAATGTATTTCGAGAAATATTATTTCCAGTTTTAAACAGAGTAAACAATTATTTAAGGGATATAATGGGAAAAGAAAGAACAAATAACCTGGCAATTTTGTATACAGAGCAAGAAATTTTGAACTTTTAAAATTTTAAACCCCTTTGACACTCCCAAAATAATTGATTTTTTAATAAATAATACAAGATGGAAATTCATGTAAAAATATTTTTTAAATACATTTATTTAATTTGTAACTGTATGGAATTTTTATTACCTTTTTTTTCTTAATATGTTTATGAGAGTTTATGGGCAGCTTCTATTTCTAACTTGAGTTTTGAGGTAACAACATTTCAACTGCTTTGGGCCCCATCTTAACTTGAGGTACTACTGTTCAAGATAAGAATTTATGATAAAATCGCAGGCTTCTGTGGCCAGAGTCATATGAAAGCTCTCGACTGTAGAGCTTTCACAAGAATTTATGCCGTTACCTATACTTTTCATTAAATCGAAACTCTTTATGTAAATACTGTTCATCATACTGAAGCCAGAAATGACACATCCATGTTTTAAAAACTAAAAATAACGTTCACAGAAAATAATCATACTTTAATTGAGATGAAGTCTACTTGGACTAAAGTTATCAAATATACACCATTAGGGGTGATTTGCACGTCACCTGTGGCACTCGAATGTCCCTTGTATAAAATAATGAAATTACTTGACTAGAGGAGATAATGGCTCAACTTATATAGAACAAAGAGGCGAGTTTAAACTCGATAAGACTTTGTGAACCCCAGAGAAATGTTTAGGGTCTAATAAGATAATGAATTCAAAAATATATTCAAATCTTAAGCTGTTGACTAAATTGAAAGAAAATATAAAGTAAATAGAAATAAAAATTGAAATATATTGAAATGCATTTTGGAAAATACTTCAAAGACAAAAAATCAAAGAATGCAAGGAAAAATTGAACGTTTAGAAATAAATGCAAAAATCTGCAATTTGATGAAAATGTATGTCTTTTAGAAAAATATGAACATAAATTAAATCATTTACATAATTCTTCATTTGTTTATTTTCTGATGAAATAAATTTCTATAAAAATCTATATATTTTCAGGTCGAAAGGAAATTGGAGATATTTTATTATTTTTATTTCTTCAATAATGCATTTCTTTTTCTTCAAGTAAAAAGTTACAGTTTTCTGCTGCGCACAATAATATGTGCAATCTCTAGAATTAGCTTCAACTGATAAGCATCATCACTTACATTTAATAAATTATGAATGTTCTCTTGCATTGATAAAAATATGTTCCTGATTTCTGCAAGAAAAGCTCACCAGTTAATTTTCCTTTATATATTTACTTTTCTGTTATCGTTAGAATGTTTTTCATTATGTAATGCTTACTGCCATATGTGTAAGTTAAGGAGGAGCAAGAGAGCCAAGGGGGCAGTTTCTCCACCTAATGTTTTGACCATTCTTAAATGTTGACAAACCTCTAAAATTGAAAAAAATATATTAATATTAAAGGCTGATTGCATTTTACAACTTTTTGTATTGCCATCAAATAATTACCAATTAGTGGAACTGTGTGAAAGAAACAATAATAAAAAATATCCCCATCCAATTCCACAAAATAATATTTGAAAATTTCTTAGATGTGACACATGTAATGCTACCAGTAAACAGCAGCAAGAGCTGCTGGATGTCAGCTATCAGACTTGTTGGAGTTGATAGTTCAGCTCAATTTTGGCAAGCGTTAGTAGCTATATCTTGGCAGGGGATAAAGCACACATCACATCTATGGATTATGATTCTTTGGTTTATGATTCACGGTGCATGAAATTGGCACCAACTGACACGTGAGCGTTTTTTCTGCAGTGAGAATTTTCTCGTTGCACATGCTTTTGCAAAAAAAGGTAAAATCAATAACAATAATATTAATAATGATAGTAAAAAATCATGTCCCGTGAAATCTAAAATAATTCTTTTACTTCATACTAATTGGATTGAATGAATTTTTCACTTGCTCCCCTAAACTTTGACTCCAAGTTCCATGCATAGTTGTTGCTACAGTGAAGTATTATGTTAGAGGAGATAACTTTAAGAGAAATTCAACTGTTTCTGCATTTGTTACTTCTCTTGAAGGTACCTAAGCTTTTAAACAAACAAGTGACAATTTCTTTTTTCAAACACAGGAAAATCTACTTTCCCAAATGTGTTCATATCACAACATTCAATGTTCACACACAATTACATAGTACCAATACATAAAAATTTAATGTTTTTTTTAGCACATGGGTAGGAACTTCACAATGCAATTACCATTCATTGTGAATAAAAGAGTAACCCAAATTGAAAGAATCTTCACATTGTGTAACACTTGTGTTATATAGTAAATAATTAATAAACACTAACATTTCATTTTAAAATGTGCAACCATGAATTCATTCTATGATGAATAGAATGCTTTTACCTTTGCTGCTAATTTGAATCTATCATGTGAGAAGAGGAAATGACAATATTACCACAAAACTGTGCCTGTAACACACAATTAATGGCTCCAAAAATAAGTATCTGCCAACAATTATTATTTCAGAAATGTTTATCCTTGACAGAAATGAAACATGAGTTTGAATTATTTTATATTTAAATCATTGTTAACCATACAGAATTTAATATTTCATTATGAGAAAGCTGTGTACTAATGACAGTATGCACATTGAAGCAAGAAATACACAAAATTATGCTCCTTTAACATATAATTGTTTTGAGATGTAATTAAAAATTGAAGTTCCAAAATTTCTTATAAATACTTGTAATAATTTTTCCACCATATTTTCCAATTTAAGATGCTTTTAGCAAGGTTATCTGCACTACAATATTTTTAATTGTTATCTCTACATTAATGTTTTTGTTTAGAAACAGATGTATTATGATACCAAAATCAGGAGCCATGCCATTAATGGCATGCCATTAATGGCATGGCTCCTGTTCCTCCACAGAATTGCTGCTTGTATGCATCGATACAAATATTATTTTACCAAGTAGATTCAACTACTGATTTGACTTCATAAATTTTAATCAGTTCTGGTAGAACCACCATCTACACAGTGAAATTAGAACACTAATTTGCCAGTTAGAAAATACAAAAATACTTCTAGGTATATGCATGTATTCACATGACTAAATTATTATATATCTTTAAATCTTTATAATAAGTTTCCATTCATACAAAAGTACAATCAAATAAACAAAAAATATTATGATTATTATTATTATTATGATTATTATTATTATGATTATTATTATTATAATTATTATTGTTATTGTTTTTGTTGTTGTTATTGAAGAGGTGAGAAAATATTAAATGTGTCTTTGTTTTATTCTACTTTAATTTTTTATTTCCACATTTTAAAAAATATATTTATTGGAAGGTCTGAAAAATAAATGACATGTGGCACTTATCGTAGTCGTAAACATACATGCTTTTCATTATCTCAAAAAGGTAAAATTATTCAGACATGACTTATGTTGAATCAATGTCGTGATGGAATCTTCATTCCCTCCCCACACACACACATTCACACCATATAATTCTGCCCGACAACTCAAGCATTAATTATTTAAACAAATTTATTCTGGTAAATAAATGGATTAATGCGTTCTTGTGTCTAGGATAAAGATATATATCTGAGGATGTCAAGAGAATGGCAACCAGGGAGTGTCATTAGTGATAATTTATAGAAAAATGTAGTTTTTGAATATGGCCTAAAAGAAACACATTACTTTCCAAGGTTCATGACCTCTGTCAAGCTACTCCCACAATAGAATTTTGTTACAGGAGAATATCAGATAACTAGTCGGGATTGAAATGGTGGTTATAGGATTTCTCTATTTTTGTCTTTGTCACAGGCGTCATGTATGAGAGCAATAAAAATTAATTCCTACTCTAGCATTTGCAACAATTCTACTTATTAAATGTAAATAAATTCCAAAATTCCTACTGAAATGTCTTTCTCTGCATTCTGAATGTGCCATGAATGATAAAATTTCTAATACTTTCATGTATTTTCCAAACTTTAGTCAGATACAAATTTAATGTAATTTCTTTGTCAAGTGTCAAGCTATATCTTTGACACTGAATTCTTTTAATATCCTTACAACTATGTGTTATTGAAGCTTAGAGAAAAACATAGCTTGAAAACCCAGTAGCAGTCTTAGGCGGCATAGACGCAGCCAACCTTCAACAAGTGCTTGGAACATCCATAAGTGACAGCGTCATTTCGCCTTGACTGCGATTCTTCCACAAGCGCTTCACGGTTCGGCTGAAACAAGAAACGACTTAATAATAATTATAAAAAAAAGTTTCAGAATAAGACATGCAATCAAACATTGTAAGGAGGAGTATTTTGACGATTATTTTTTAGTTCAATTACGCTGTCTTTTTCTTATTATAGACTCATGGAAAACCTTACTATCGTGATTACCCGAGTAATGTTATGTACTGAAAATTTCCCCTAATGTATATCGCACCTTGATATGTATTGTTATGTTTCAACTTTAAGACAGACGGTTAAAATAACAAGCGAGCGAATGTTCAACAAAAACAGTTTATTTTACACTTTGGTACTAGAACAGTTTTCGACACCCAAACTACATTAATAATCGCCCGTCCTGGGCTTTCTTCTGGCGCTCGTTCTCAGCGTGGCCGAACTGCGCTCCGCCGTCCCGGAGAGCACCTACCGCCACCATTGATGTCGTTCCCGAGGACTGTCCCGTCACGAGCCGCCCGTTCGCCCAGGGCTGTCGCCTTCGTCCACGTACCCGATTCAATTTTTCCAACACTCGGAGAGTTGGGAGAGTGGAACCTGTTGTCCAACCTGGAGCTTCAAGTTCAAAAATTCCCAAGGTGGAACTGCCCGGCAACTACAGGTTTTTCTTATAGGTCTGCCTGGAAGCAAGTCCTTCTTTCCGCGGTCTCCCGGCCGCTCTCACTGCTTAACTACGCAGTCTTTCCTCCGAAGGGAAAGGGTCGGGAGGCCCTTTCCCCACGGGAGATCTTACATTCACAACAGCCAGAACACAGGCGTCACCGTTAGGCTAGACGTCGCCGTTCAGCTAGATTGATGGTGGGGGAACTGTGAATGAAACATGAAAGTGCGTACCCCGACCTCTCGCCGCCCCGCCGGGCGACGCGCAGTTGCGGCTGATGCTGCTCAGGTCACGCCCTTGACGCAACGACGGCCGTCTGTGCTTGCGTAGTCGCCTCGACGCCGTGAGCTCGCCGCGTCGCCTGACAGCGGGCATACACAATGGCATTCACCACATATATCTAAGGTGACCCCGAAAAGGAGCCAGACCCAAACAAGTGCAGCCTCAGACAGACAGAGCCTCGCATCTAGCTAGGACATTATGTTCACTCTACAAGGTACGATTAAAAAGTAGAAGGGCTGATTTTCTTAAAATAATTTATTGCTCATTGTATCTGTAGGGAATATGAGGTACAAGTCCTTAGGACCCTTGTGCTTCGACACACCGAGTATAACGCGTTTGCCAATCTACGAACGCCTTCTGGAAATCACTGTCCGGAATGCCGTTGTGGGTCCTCGTTACAGCCACATAGACGTCTTCGATGTAATCGAAGCATTGTCACTTTATGGGCCGTTTCAGGAGGAGAAGAAAGAGAATTGAGGCGAAGCCACGCCTGATCTGTAGGGGAGTGAGGCAACGTGACAACGCCTTACTGAGCCAACGCTCCCACACCAACCGCACGATGTAGCACGGCACGGTGGAACTTCTAGGAACGGGCGATGTCTGGTTGCACGCGGTTAACTCCTTTTCGCAACCGATCGAGCATTTCCGCGTAATCTTGTGCATCCACGGTTGGCCCAGGGGGTACAAACTCCTTGTGGATGACATCACGAAGATAAAAAACACCAGAAGCGACCAGAGTCTAGAAGTCGTTTCACTTTTGTCACATGTTAGTTGTCCCTTGATGTTGACGGGCGAGCGGTGCGTTGGTCATTCGCGGCGAGCCTCCTTCCCCTCCCTGAACAGCTCGTGTCTCTTAAAAACTCTCAAGTGACTCATGGGAGCATTCTCGTAGGCCCGCTTGATCTTATTGCAGGGTGTCTTGGCGTTTTTTCTCCTTCAAGTTTAAACCAAAGCTTCACGCTGTAGCACAGCTCGAGATCCCGTCCCATGCTGAGCGTGACACTTCTTAACAATGGTTCACGGGAAAATGTGTGGTCACTCTCCATAGGCACGCAGGCTACTGCGGACGGACGCGTTCTGTTAGTGGGGGACCTTGCCTCCTCGCCCAACCAATACGACCCCCGTCCGTTGGTTTATCTGACCTACAGAAAATCAGTCCTTCTACGTTTTGATCGCACCTTGTGTTTAACTGTCCAGGTTGCTTTAAGTATCCTAAACTCAGGATCAAGAAGAGTCATCGTATGGTAATGGGTGGTTTAGGTGAAATAGGGCCCAAACATTGTTCTATGGACTATTAAAGCCTGCAGTAACATTCGTTCTTTAACGGAAAGACAATTTATTATTTAAGATACTTTTTTTAGATTTCTACATTGATTGTTGTGAGAATCACATTACACGCAAGCAAATTACAACACGTTTGTACCGCACAATTTCACCCCGTTCCGCTCCGCCCTGCTCCGCCCCGCTCCCCACGCTAAGCCCGGCCACGAATCGCATCGATACGCCTCGCCGCGTTCCGCTACACCTCGCTCGCTTCAACCCCGCTCCATACAACTCGCCTCCCTCCATCCCGCTCCCTGTCCAGCTCTCCCCGCAACGCTTCCCCTTCAGCACTTTGTCCCGCCCACTCTCCTCATCCTCTCCCGCCCCTGTTATCACTCCGTCTCACTCACTTCCGTCCAGCCACGCCCTGACAAAGCCCCTGCCCTCACCATTGCATCTCTACATCTCAATACCTTATGCATAAATGCAGTGCGCGTTGCATTAAATCCAATTTTATTGTTGGAAAAACGCACGTATTCACATTTGGAGTACATTGGAGTATCAGTTTCAATGGCAACCCTCACTATTTTGGTTCTCGGAATCTCAAA